TGGGGTTCCCAGCCCAGTTTAGTCATAGCTTCATCAGTTGTTATTTTTGAGGCATCTTTGGAGTTACACTGTAAGACGATCCTTACTGCTCGTCGCTGTAGTTGTTCAATCTTGTCACTGTTTCCTTGCCCACATTCATTCCACACAGTATCATAATAATCTAGAACCGGGAGGACCATGGCTTTATAAAGTCTATTTGCAGCTTCTAGCGTTAGTGAAGGTCTTATTCGAGAGAACATACCGAATATCTTAGATACCTTGATCCTCACATGATCCACTACATAAAGTGGATTAACTTTTTACACCCTAGCATCAGTATGCATATTCTCCATACTGTTCTCCGTACATTTTCTAAGGTGCTGACAAGGAGAATTTGTTTAACAATCAAGAGCTTTTTCAATCGATGACTATTTCCTTTATTCTTGAGACCTTAATGTACGATTTAGGAGTGATATTTCAAGGAGAGATTACGCTAGTCACTCTTGGAGTGAAAGGGTTGAACTCTAGCTCAAATATCGACTGATGTTGGCTATTTAACAATTATTCCACGAGCGTGCATTGGCTATAATCATCTCATATCCAAGAAGCGCGAGTGGAATAATTGTTTTATTAATAATGCCCCCTAAGATATTAGGCAAATCTTTATATTAGACAAATTTTTGTAGCTCCCTTTTAATTTTAAGCTGACGTGAACGCTTACTATATTTGTAGATTATGGTATATTGGCTCATATACCATAATAGCTAAGCCAATAATAAGTCTTGAATTGCATAATCCAATGATCCAGTTTTTAATACTTGGTTTTATTAAAAACTGGATCATTGGATAAGGCAATTCAAACTTTTTATTGGCTTAGCCATTATGGTATATGAGCCAATATACCATAATCTAATATCTGTACATTGTAACATCTGGTTTCTTCTTACAAAACAAAGTCAAGAGGATTTGTCTAATATCTTAGGGGCGTGTTTTTTTAATAAAACAATTATTCCACTTGCGCTTATTGGAATTATGAGACGATTATAGCCAACTCGGCAATATGTGCTTCATTGGCTATCTATCATCTGATATCCAACGCGCACTTGTAGAATAATTGTTAAATAAATATTCAGACCTTTCTCTACATGTCTTCAAAATTATTTTAGTGTAATGTAATAAGTAAGCTAAGGACCAGCCATCATTTTGTCATAATGTTGTTTCCAATTAATACAGGTTCAAGATAAATTTAAACATATTGCTGGTGGGGAATTCATTGGATTTAGTAATTCTACGTAAGTTGCATTTCTTGATTCAGTCACAATAAAATTGTTATGGTTTATTGTAATAAATAATTCTGGTTACTCATTATTGAGTATTGTATAATTAGATGTGAATTGGAATTAGCACCGAATTACCCAGCTCAGTTTACAAAATTTTTGAAATGGGAATTCAAAACTATGAAAATTATAGTGAAAAGAGAGACAAATTCATACTCTAAGTGATAAAATTCTATCAAAACTGAGGTCTGAGTTATAATTTATGTGGAAGCCAAAGGCTGAGACAATATAACACTGACATGAGGTTATTATAATAATTATTATCGATTTATTGTAAGTTAAAATTATTATTACTATTAATAATTGTTATTATCACTACTACAACTATAAAGTTATTGTGACATAATTTAGGGACTTATTACACACCCCACTAATATCGATGCATTACATGACTGTCTAAAGTTGTTTGAACCTGTTCATTTAATTTGTTGATTATTAATTAATTGAAAAATTAATTTTTTTAGCTTTTTATCTGACCGTGAAACTGCTGACAAAAACTATGCATTGGGATACTACATGAATGCTCACAAGGTTGGTGAAACATGTCTGATGCATGTGAACAAACAGAAAACTGAGTGAGAATGAAAACTCACAGAAATCCTCTCTAGAGCAAAAGGCAGGAAGAAATTGAGTATATGAGACCTTAAACAAATTGAACCTTGTCTGATTAAACTAAACTGAACTTTATCACTGACAACACTGAACAGAAACCAAATTTGTTAAAACAAATTGTAATTATTGTTCATTACTAATTGGCTAATTGTAATCAGTTATGATTTATATATTACAACTGCAATTTATTAAAATTGAATATTATGGATAGTGCCAGCTGGTGTCAGCCAGGTTAGGTCAAGCCAGTCTCTACTCTCTACTAAATGAAACTGGTACACCTCTTGTATTGCATTGCATTATGTGTAACAAGCAGCAAGATTACAAACAACAAGAAACAAGAGGCTTAACTCAGAACTCAATACATATATATTCAGAGCTTGTGTTCTCCCAACATCGCTCGGCAGTTGCACACACGTGACCTTTGCGGTAAGGTCACCTGACATAAAACGATCTCTACTTTAATCCTATTGTTACATTATGAATTATATAAGCATGAGCACATTCAGAATTATTCAGTTTGAGATAGATTCTGATTTTGATGCAAACTAAGGAGCAAGGTGACTTCCACTTTTTGTGAAATGTTTTTCTCATCTCCTTGACAGGTCACAACATACAGTGGACATAATTTCACTTAAAATTTATTTCCTGTACTGTATTTCCTGTACCGTATTTCCTGTACTGTATTTTCTTGACAATTAAGTCACAACAGACAGTGAACATATTTTCACTTAAAATTTATTTCCTGTACTGTATTTCATATGGTACATGTTTGTTTGACATGGAGCTCTATCTAGGACCACCAACACCATGAATAAATACTAGATGATAATTTAAATTCCAAAAGCTTTAAAGATATAGAGAAGCATCATCAGATGTTAACTGTGCCAAATGAATAAATTTGATTTACTTCTTGTTTTTATTGAAGGCTTTTCCACCTAACACCAATCTTATGGACACTTTTGAACTGTATTTTCATGTGAGTTGCTAAATTATCATTATTCAGCTTTATTTTCTAAATTAGTAATAATAATAATAATAATAATGATGATGGTTCATTCAACCTTTTTGCAGCATACACTGAATTACAATGTGGGTCATTAATATTATTACAAATACTTCTAATGAATTGTGAATTGGATTTCTTATTAATTTCACAAGATTTTAGCTATGATTAACTCAAATGGCAGCAACATTTTTTTTGCAGACTTGCTCAACAGAAACTAACTGCGATGCTGGTAGTGTTATGGCAGCAACCTTGGCAAATGGTGGAATTTGTCCCCTGACTGGTCAAAAAGTAATATGAATTTTTAATGTATAAGAACTTTGTGTAGTTATTGCACCTTTTTCATTAATGATTCATTTTATTAATAATGTTTATTCATCAAAGACATTTAAGAATTTTAAGGGACTTTTATTGAGCTCTCGCTCCTGGCTCTTGTGTACATTATTGGTGAAAATTTGAAACTTACAGCCAAGACTCTAAATAAATGTAACTATGTGTTTCATGATGAATCAAGGAGCATGTACTTTATGCCGGTTTTGTGTTTAAATTGAAATCGTCAAGTGGTGTGGCAAAACAGGTTTAAGACAATTTTAAATTTTCTGTTGCAGATATTCAGCTCACAGACTGTACAGCATACACTATCCCTCATGCTCTCTTGTGGATTGTATGATTACTCAGGACAATTTGCCTTTCATGTAAGGAGAAAAGTCAAACAGAATGTACATATTTTATTAATTAATTAGTATTGTTTTTCTGCTAAGCTCAGAGAACTTGGAACACATGGTCAGGAATGTTTCAAAAATAGTGCTATGGCCCATTGCATCAGAGATCATGAGGACAATAATACCACAATCTAGTTGCAGTCACCATGCTTACAGTTTTGTTATCACATGCCTGCATATTGGCATGTTTTAAATTTTTTGATACAAGTATAAGTTCTTAGAAATACTTCCATGGTATTCAGATTTCCACAGAAAGAGTTGAAATGTTGAGATTGTCATATCTATCAGTATCATAATGAGCTCTTCCATAAAATTTACAAAAATTAAAGATTCTCATTTAGTGTCCATTCTTGTAACATTTTTCCTGAATTTTCTCAACTGTTATTTTTTCAGGTAGGCTTACCAGCCAAGTCAGGTGTAAGTGGTGCAATATTGATTGTTGTCCCTAAAGTTTGCGGTATCATGGTGTGGTCACCGCCACTGGATGATCTAGGTAACAGTGTCAGAGGAATGCAGTTTTGTAAGGTAATTGTGAAAATCAAGCAAAGTTAAAGCTCCATGTCCACATACCTTTCATAAAGGTGATTCTGGTGATCAGGTTGGTATTTTGTGGTGGTAGAGAGCAAGGGGGGTGGGGGTGAGGAAAGAGACAGGCTACCACTTTATCCTTATAAAAGGGGGAGGACTTGTGACCCTTACCACAATGCCTTTGGCTTCCTCTGTTGGAAATTCTGCTTTCATCTCTGATCGATTCATGATCCTTGTTAAAGAGAATTGTGATGACTACAATTACTATGGAGGCGACAGTGCCTGCTGATTACTATTACATTATAATTTATTAATGATGATAATTGTGACGGCGATTATGCAATTAACTGTGATACTGAGGATAATAGGGATGTTGAGGATAGCAATGATTTTAGGTCAATGATGATAAGAACAATGACGACAATTGGGTTAACACTCAGTTCATTTCAATGAATTTGGTTTTTTTTTTTAGAGATTTCAAAGGTCATATTTTGCAGGAACTTGTCAGCTTGTTCAATTTCCACAACTATGACTTGAAGGGTGCCTCATCGGGTAGAAAACTGGATCCAAGAAGAAGAAAGGCAGAAGTACAGGTACAGTTTGATCAAGTTATGGTTCATAATTTTAACTTAAGGTCCTCTGATAAAATGTTGAACAATTTAAGTAACTATGATTTGCTAAGGTATGGAGTCACTGAATTTTGAAGAGAGAAGCTAATTTTGATGAAACATCATATACTAGTGGTATCAAATATCGTGAATTGTTTGTATACGTGCAGAATTCTACATATACAGAAGCAGATGTGTATATATGTCAGGAATGAAGTGTGAGGGTTACAAGCTTGCTTATTATTATTATTATTGTTATTGAACCTTAATCAAAAGAGGCAGGAGCTCATTCTCTTCCAGAAAGGCGCCCCTACCAGGAAAACTAGTTAAGGCTTGAAAGCACTTACCAACTTCTGTGATAATAGGGACATTGCACCCATAAGCTGAGCCTCTTCTCTCCACCTGTGGTGGCTCGTGAAACTCGAGACCCGCAAAAGCGTTCCTTGTATTCTCGCTCAGCATTCCAACTGCGTCGTCAAACGACGCAGGGATTCATTTATTTTCTTTAGATCTCTCCTTTGCCTAGCTCCCTTAACCCATTAACAGTGCCTCTTGTCTGCCACACCCACTAAGACCAGCAAGTTTAATATTTTATAAGATAAACTGTAAGTTAACCATTTATTTATTTCTAGTTATTTGATCGAAAGTTAATTCTAACAATAATTTTACTTAATGAAGGAATCACTTTTTACTTTTCAAGTGGAATTTCTTGTATAAAGAAAATTACCTTTTTCATCAGGGAGAAAAAGTTGTTTATCTTCTTTATGCTGCAAGTTCTGGAGATGTAACTGCCCTGAGAAGGTAGAGAATAGGAGTTTGAAATATATATTAATGATGATGATGATGATGCTTTTTTATTTAACACAATTCCTAGATCTTATTTATCATTACATTTTTATAGAGTTGTAAATGGCTGTATAGTAAGAAGCAGTGTTCTTTACATTCATGTACAAGAAACATGTACAAGAAACATTTTCAGTCAAAAAAAGATGCATGCATGGTTTTTCAGGATCGGAAGAGCCTAGTAGCACTATTGTGGAGACCATTGTAAATAACTGTGATTATAATGCTTGTTTATATGCACTTTAGCTAGAATTAAATAATTATTAAATTTACCTCAAATGGTTTTAGATATTATCTGTCAGGCACAGACATGACTATGCAAAATTATGATGGAAGGACAGCTTTACATGTTGCTGCTGCTCAAGGTATTTATAAGGAAGAAATGGATTTTAAAATCAACCAGGGAAGAGCTTTCTAGATTCTTTTTTCATCACCTGTAAGATAGCAATAGTACAAAATATATAGAATGGCAAGGGAAAAAAAAGTTCATAATTGATCCGTTGTGGGGAGAAAAAATACACTGAGGGTTAATGTATAGATACAGCCAAGCCTTTTTAAGAGGAGCTCTAAAAATGTTCTTTCCTGCTGGTCTATAGCTAATCAGTAAAATTAAGCCCTACTGGACAGTCACAGGGCCTGTACTTGGATGGGTCATGGTAAACATTCTTTGCATTGTGACTCTTATTTTTTTTTTATCCTCAAATTTCCCAATTGAAAGTATCTTGACATGTAAGCCCAAAGAAATAACAACATCAGTGTTTGGCTGGGCATGTTAACCGTCTCGACAATAAAAAAGAGGTACTGTTACTTTAACAATATTTAGGGTTACCCATGGTACTGATCATCTCTGTTAATGTTTTTTTTTTTTTTTTGGTTTTTTGTTTTTAAATCTATTGTGTTAACAGGCCATCATGAGGTCATTAAGTTTCTTTTAGAGAGATGCGAGGTTCCAGTTGATCCAAAAGATAGGTACAGGACAAGAATTTAACAATTTTCAATTACTTTTAATTCATTTCTCATATGTTATTTGACTACAAATTGTATTTGATTGTGAACAGGTAAAGGTAAAGTCTCTACTTGAGCACAGTGGCTCACCCAACAGGAGGTTACTCCGGTTTCCTTGGCATGAAACGACTAGAAGAATCACTACCCCCCTTTGGGCGGGATTCCAGTCCATTGTAAGGTGACCTCCCCCCCTTCATCAGGCTTCCCTGACAGTGGGAAGGAGGGGGAATCACTCTCTTATCCACTTTGTGCCTTGGAAAATGGTGATAAGCATAAGCATTTGTGCACCCCTAAAGTCAAAGACTTAAACCCTATTTTGATTGTCTTATGCATGATCCTTCTCTGTATTTGAACATGCCTGGTAAAATAATTCAAAAGAGTTTTGAAAATTAGTGCATCACATTTAGCTTCCCAAAAATGGGAACATTTTCTATCAAACTATCTCCTTCAAGAATTTTCAATGTAGCAATAGCAAGCAGCTTAATGGAAGTGAATTTCTTTCCACTTAGGTGGGGATTTTCACCACTTGACGAGGCAGTGCGATTTGGCCATCAGGCCTGTGTGGACTTCATTAAACACCATCTTCAGTTACAAGGAAAAACTACTCAATAATGGGTAGAGTCTTGTGATACACGAAGTTGACCAAAAGGATCAATTCTTAGGTTTAACATATGAGTTCACAAATCCATTTTATTTGTATTATAGAGAGGAGCAATGGGTCACTTAAGTTATTTTATTTATCATTCTAAGTTTTAAATATTAAATAATGCCAGGCTAAAGGTTCTAGTGTGAACAACTAGGCAAGTTCATTGACACAAGTTTGTTGCAAAAAGCACGGATGGTATTTGTGTAATGCCAATTTTATTTTCAAGAAATTTGTTTGAAACTACTAAATACCAAAATTTTAATTTTAACCAGTCTTTTACCTAAATGGGACTGATTTTTTTTTTTTATTGGATATGGGTCTAACTATTATTACAAACTTATTATAAATGACAAATTTAAAACACAATGAAATCAAACTGTAATATTAACAATTAAAATTATTATCAAGAATAACATTAACATATATCAGAATTGTTTTAGAAAGCATTCTCTCAACTAAATCATATTTTACTCATGAGCCAATACATACACTGTAGCTGATGGTCTGTTGTTTGTTACTGAACTGAGTTATGAAGACAGTATGTGGATTATGATTGGTCAATTTAGCAGGCCGTATTTCACAGTACCACCTGTAATTTTAAAAGTCTGAACCCAGATATTTGATAAATATCTCACTAACCCTGTTTCCTTGGTTTGTACTCTAAGTACAGAACCTCTTTTTTCTGCTTGGATTTATGGTCTGCATGCTTCATGATTGTTGATATTATCTTCATGGGACTCGCACAAACGAGAGCTATTGTCTGATTATAATATTGGCAACCATTTAAAATCATAAGAGCCAAAATGGCACCTTCTGAGAAATTCAAGCATTAATTAAGGTTGCTTTCACTTTTTTACAGTTTTTATTCATTTCAGTTCTTGTTTTCCAAGAAGACTTTTCACCAAACTAAATACTGTCATCATTTTAATGGCAACTTGTCTTGGAAAATTTCCTTAACTCCTTACAGTGACTAACATTTAATTTTTCCTTTCATTATCATCGTAGAATCAAACATTGAGATCATGAGAATAAGAAATGATTTTCTGAGTGAGGAACTTTTTGATTGTTAAACAAATTCTTCTTGTCAGTACCTTAGGAAATGTATGGAAAACAGTATGGAGAATATGCATACTGATGTTTGGGTGTGAAGGGCTAACGCCTACTGACATGAAAGTTGAACGCGTAATCCACTTATCAACAAAAACTCCGGTGATAAGTGCGGCCATCAAACTTTCAAGGCAGTTGAACGCGTAATGCTCTATTGATTAGCTCAGCTATACGTTACCCACGCTCGCGATACTCATTTTTTAACATCGGTAATCAAAATGTGCCATCTGTCTCAAATGCAAAATATGTTTTGATTCATTTTTGTTTTTCAAATTAGTATTTAAAATATCAGCCACTGAGCTTTGTCTCACACCTCGTATAATTTGAAAAGTTAAGCCTAATTTTTTAAAGCTATCATTTCCTTAAAAAAAACAAAACAAAAAAAAAAACAAAAAACAAAAGAACTGTTTTGCCGCATCTGCGGAGGAGTGAACACTCAGATTATGAGGTGGTGGTTTTTAGGATTAGACGAACCTTTGCGTTGAATATAGACAAGATAATGTTTCTTCACGAGCGTTACCGCTTCATAATTAGCAATCCATCTTAATCTTACCGAAATAATATTTTTAGTTTCCACCACGGAAAAGTAATTTTACATTGTTAATTATGGAACAGCACAAATGAGCTGCAAATGGCTTCGAATGGGATTGCCCACAAATGAGATTTAACCAAAAGCCAGACATGCCAAGCAGGAAATCTTTGTAAAATCCTCAGAGATAGCATATCACTGAATTTCTTGCAACAGATAAAAGTTGCATCTTAGCTACTCTAAAAAAAAAAACAATACCGGCGTCAAATGGTCGAGAAGTTTTTTGAAACTCCAATAATAAGTAAAAGAGGAAAAACAAAAGTAAAGCTCCTCAAAGAAATTTAGGCCTTTTTCCTATCAATGTTCTTTTCAGTAAGAATTGAATACAAGGGGAAAGAGTTTCTAAAGAAGCTGTGCTGCTGCGTCGGTTGGGGGTTGAATGAGTTGATAATTAACAATTGGTTCATGCGTCAGCGTGCGTTCATCGAGAATTGAAGCACGTTGGAAGTTTAGAGAGCACGTATGATGCGTGAGAGTTGCTCGAGGCGCAGCCATTTGTTTGCTGACGTTATCAGCGTGCACAGTGGGAAATTGAAGCACGCTCACGCAATTGAATTTGATTGCACGAACTTACAATCTGTGTTATAATGTAAACTGGCTAGTTAACCCTTCGTCAGAGCGAAAGAAACTAACGCTCACGCTCGAAACATCAGCTGCAAAAACTCTTCGATGGCCAATTAACATCAATACAGTTAGTAAAAACAATTCATTCTTTAATCAAAGTCAAAGCAAGTGTTTGTAAGTTCCTGCCAACCATTTTAAAACGAATGAAGACGTTGTTAGGGGCGGCCAGGATAAATGCGCGGAATCCCAAACATCACTGACGATTTTAAACTGGCCCCAAAAAGTCATACAAGTTGATTTTCGCCACCACTGTTGTTTAAATTTTTCCTCTTCCAAACGCTTACCATTTGATGCCAATATATCAGTGTGTTTGATGGAGGTTTTTGGGAAAAATACTAATTATTCTCTTAACCTCATTTGAAGCAAAAACTATTGTAGATAGTAGAAGGAGAGTTGTGGGAAACGTCTGTAAAAAGGTGTAGAAAGTCGTGAATACTTATTTTTAGTCATGAAGGAAAAGTTTGATTTGAACATGCCAACGAAAGACAATAAAGTGTTTATTTGGCTTGCAGAAATGAATTCCAGGGTCTTTCGACATTGCTGAATGAAAAACCAGGATTAAGAGTGTTGTTGCCTTTATACTTGAATTTGACCCCAAAATGTGTCGATATCATTATAGTCTTGTAACGTAAGGAAAGCTTCATTTAATTCGTGTCTCGCTCCTTAGGGGTGTTTTTATCGAAAGAAAAATAGGAAAATGCTGTGAACATCTTAAATACTTTCGAAATTTCAAGTGGAAGCCATCTACTTTCTAAAGAATGAGGAAACCTGCTATTGGTCATTTGAACTTTAATTTCCTCTTTGTGTCTGATTTTGACTCTAAAATGTTAGGGCTATTTCGGTATTATTGTAGTCCTGCAACGTCAATCAAACTTCAATTTCCTCTCACTTCTGCCAAGGTGGTGAAAAAAGGAAAGAACACCTGCAATTTATACACGCAATACCAGAAGACATAGATAAGACAAAGTTTATCCTCCGTTAAACGTCAAGAGTATCTTTTCAAACATGATTTTTAACGAAGTAATTACAGGTTTCCACGCCCTAATCAATGCCATTGGTCTTCCTGGAAATCTACTTGTTATAGTGACGACCGCTTTTGAAAGATTCCACATCATGCGACGTGTTTTACTCGCGAGCCTTGCAGTGTCATTTCTTATGCTTGATTCTCGTGAACTCATTCTCCATTTTAAGCACAACACAAAAGAAGTGGTTGTACGGCGAAACATTTTATCGCATCCATCCAAACCTTGTGCGATATTTCTACGTCAACACAGCCCTTCATCTGATAGCTGTATCGTACGAGTGATACAACGCCATAGTGAAGTCACCAATGTCATACAATGGCGCGATGACTAGTTCCCGGATTTTATGGAATAGTTTTCATTTGGTTACTGCCGTTTGCAGTTTTTATCTTTCCCTTATTCGGTGTATGGAAGTATGTTCACTTTCCCAAATTGTTCTTTTGCAAGCAAATGATTTTCTGAGTGAGGAACTTTTTGATTGTTAAACTAATTCTCCTTGTCAGCACCTTAGGAAATGTAAAGAAAACAGTATGGAGAATATGCATACTGATGTTAGAGTGAAAAGGTTAAATACAAGATGAGGGAAACTATAATACTGCAAACCTTGTATTGTGCATGTCCAATTAAAGATAAATGAAGATATCTGTGACTTAATAATCATTTTTCCTGAAGTTGTTATACAGCTATAGGCAGCAGTGGGGAACCCAGACCTTGAGCCAAGGGGGAGCCCAGTTTTGTGTGTGTACGTACACCTGCCAACTTTTCTTTTCTCTATGTTAATTTTGTTTTAATTTTTTACCCATAATAATGGAGGAGGCCAGGACCCCCAGGCTCCTCTCCTAAATCGTCCACTGGCAGGTGATGGGAATCCAATCCTCTTGACATAACCATAAATCAAAGCCACATTCATTGTCTCACACGATATGATGACACTGAAATGATCAATACAACATTATGTCTCGCACAATATAATGACAGTGAAATGATCCACAGAATGTTACTGTAATTTCATCAAAATGATTAAGGAGAACTTCATAAAAGATCAACTGAGTTTCTTTTCCATCACACTGTATTTATCATGCAGTTCCAATTTGCCCTCAAGTTTAGCATCAGCCTCACATAATGTTATGTGTCTGGTTTGACCGAGAAAATGTTCTGCAGCTTCCAGGTTAATCAGTTTTATTTTCACCAGGTCATTCACTTTGTATTGACTGAAACAGAAATAAAAAGATAAAAATGTTATGAACTGAACGGTGGCATTTAACACTGTCACTCCCAAGATATCTCATTAGCAATTCACCTTACTGTATGCCACACAATTCTTATGATGTTAGTTTGGAGAATTTGGTATTGGATCAACTGATAATCCCTTGATTGATGTTTTATTTATTCTCACTGCTCATCTGCTTAATATTGTCACTAACTTTTCAACTTACTAGCAAAGTGGCTAGTGACATCTTAGATGTTACAACAATTTCAGTTTGTTTACTAGCCAAACTGGCTAGTGGAAATCGAAAACCACTAGCCAAAACAAAATTTCTGCTAGGCTGTGTCGAGCCCTGATTGTATTGATTTTTACAGGAGAAATTCTTTCTTGATCACTTATGGGAATGAAACACCCAGTTAGAAATAACTCACATCAAATTTCTCCTTAGGGTATGGCAGAGATGCCAACCTGTGGAGATCTAAAATCAGGAGAATTTGACAAGATTTCCATATAACCCCATACATTAATTATGCATTTAGTGTTGCAAAGAAACCTTTATATTTAATCTTTATCAAATGGAATGCATAATTTATGTATGGGGTTATAAGGAAATATTTCCGAGAATTTTCCTCATGCAATCACTGCATCAACTCGGTACCCCTTGTAACTAAAAGAAACTTTATGTCTCTGCCCCCAATAAAATCGATCTCCCTTCCCGAAACAAAGAATATGGTACTTTTGTTTGGTTTCTGTCAACATTTTGTTACATGAAAAGTGCTTAGAGAAACAGCGAGACAAGTTTGTAAAATGAAAATGGATGATAGCCTTCAGTAAAACAAGACTTTGAAAGCCAGTTCATCGCTTCTATCCGGGAGATTTGGTGAACCGTACTCATATATGCCACCTTTCCCGGATACAGAATGAATCTCCTGGTCTACCATACGGATAACCAAATCTCCCAGATAAAAGCGACTTTGAAGCTTTGCACCACTGGGAGCAAAGGTCCTGCCTCAAATACCCAAATCAAAATAATTTAGGTTTTTTAACCTCAACTCGCGTTTTCAGGCACTTTTTTATTAAGCAATCTTTTAACCACAAAATGTTGACGGAAACTAAAAATAATGCTTTTTCACTACCATACAACAGACTGTCTGATTGGATCTGTTAACCAATAACAACCCAAGAAATAAATGCCCGGTCTCCCGCCAATATTTTCCACTTCCAACTTGTGTGTGATTGCAAGATTCAGCATGTCGGTAGATTTTTCTTTTCTTCTGAATATCTGGGAAACCTTCCTATTTTTCTCGGCCAACATCGGAAACTCTTCAGAAGACTTCCGATCAACTTTGGAAACCATCGAAATTCCTCGGTAAATTTCGGAAATCTTGAGGTCAACTTTGGAAGTCTTCAGTCGTCCTCGGAAGACTTTGGAAATCTTCCTTTTTTAAGGTGAACATTGGAAGCTATTACTTACTTGATTTGGGGGGTGAAGGTCGATTTGATGGAGAGGGGGTGAAGGTCGATTTGATGGAGAGGGGGTGCCACTTTTTTCTTGGGGGGGGGAGTTTGATGCCAGAGTGTTATAAAAGAAAAATCTCCAGATTTAAGATTTCCAGAGGTTGGCATCTCTGCGTACTGTAGACCGGGAGACTCCCGAATAAAAAATTATCCAGGAGAGTTGGCAAGTATGGTATCACACCATGTAAAAGTGATGAGAGTAAAACGAAATGATCACAAACTAAGGATCTTCTTGACTGTTAACTTCTTCTTTTCAGTAGCAAGAAAAATCAACAGAGAATTGTTTGGAGAATATCCATAATGATCACGCATATGATATCGCGTAAAAAATTACAATCAGGCTACCTACCCTGTTTTAAACAATTTCATTTCTTTAAAATGCAATAACAAACATCGTGTTCATACCTTGCTATGTTTCTACCTTCCGTACAAACCGTGTGAAACTTCCAGCCAAAGTCTACATACAAATCTTTTTTCCCGTCGTTTTCCACAATGTGTGTGATTCTCCCAGAAACGGTTTTACCCTTTGGTCGACCTAATTTGACAAACTTAGAATTCCTGAGCATCTCCTCAAAGTTTTCGTCCTCAGCACTTCTAGGTGCGCTAAAACATGACCTTATGCCTACATCGGTGGTAAGAAGAATGGTTCTACAGTAGCGTCGAAAATATGATAAACTAAGCGCCTTTCTCCACAAACCATAGGAAACCGCCATGTTGGATAAAGGCGAGGCAACTTAGCAAATTGCCAGGCTACGGGTGACGCGCTAATGGCATGTGGGGCGGCTGAGACACAGAAAGCACCCTGTTAGCTTTATGCAAATCTTGAGAACTGTTAGGCAATAATGGTTGACCCTGGTTATTATACTGGTGTTGGAAACAATTTAAACTGAACAGCACGAGAGAGAAACGCTCCAAGTTGGGTATAAAACACCTTGCTTCAACGGAAGAAGTCGACACAGCTCTGGATTCGATGAATGATGATTTACGAGATGGGAAATCGCAGTGGTGCGTGTCAGTTGACACAAAAACACATCGAGTGACTATTCCAAGAGCTGGCAAGACGTTTAAGATTTGATGACCCTGTTATGTGTATGCAATATTTGCGAACTCTCAGGCAATAATGGTTGACCCTGTTTGTTATACTAGTGTTGGAAACGTTTTAACCTGAACAGCACGGGAAAGAAACGCGCCGAGTTGGGTCAACACACCCTGCTTCAAGGAAAGAAGTCAACACAGCTCTGGTTTCGAAGAATAATGCCTCATGAGATCGATGGGAAGTCGGAGTAGCGCGTGTCAGTTAACGCAAAAACACATCGAGTGATTATTCTAGAACTGGCAAGACGTTTAAGATTTGGTTTTGAATTTTAATAAAGTGATTCTACCTAGAGAAGGGGGATGAAACGCAAGGTTTTACAAACTTCGACGAGTATATCCTCTACGTAATACAAACGAGAAGAATTAAAGGTATGTTTCTTCAGTTGATATTCTGATATAGGAGCTGAGTGACAATATTGAGTTGGTAGATTTTCGTCTGCAATTTCTCATTTCGCTGTTAAGTTCGTTGAGTAACTGTAGAGTATCTTGCCTGTCCACATCTTCTTTTGCGTGTGTCGGTGCGATATGATTAAGAACGAGGTTCTCAACTAACAACGGTCGCTTGATTCTTATCCCGTGAGGAGAAAATATTCCGGCACGATCTCAAATATGTGCATTAAATGAGTCACGAGAGGCATGTTATATCTGTCTTTCATATCCTTCACGAAATTGAATAAAGCTAAGTTTCAAAAGCCGATCATCAAAATGTTAAGACTATTTCCTCTTGACGCTTTGAAGGAGTTTTCACTATATTATGAATATGTATATTTGCAAACGGAAATGTGAAACGAACCGCAATATCTACAGCAGGAAATAGGCCAATGTCATATATTCCATGAAAGTGACGCAAATTTATTCGCATTTTAAAGCGTTTTGCGCCTGCAAATTTTAAAGATCTGAGGTAGTGTGACTGAAAAGCTTGCATGACATCGACCAATGAATAAAGCGGGTAATAGTTTTAAAAAGAAATTGTGATGCGGCAATGGTGTAGGGTATTACAAAATGATTTGGTTTTATCAACTGAGCATGAGTTGATAATGTAAATTGGCCATCGTTAGGAGTTTCTGAAGCGGACATCTCGCTCTGTCGTCATTCGTTTTGACGAAAGGTTAATGCCCTCGAAACGTCATCTCCAGAAACTCTTTCACGGAGGTCAATTAGCATTATCAACGCAGTTGAGAAAAGCGAACTATCATGCATTGACATTAGCCAAGTTTGCCTTCGAGCGGCAATTTGTTCGGAGGCCCACAAGTATCATAGCAAAAGTTTCAAATCAGCTTATAATGAACGCCGCGACAAAAGTGTGAGAGCGTCCCGGCAAAAGTTTGAAAAGCTCGCTGTGGTGGCAAGTATACATTTTTTCTTTCCTTATTAAATATTTTTTTCATTAATTCTAAAATAGAATATGTTCTTTGAAACTGAAGGGATTACATGAAAATGAAAATGCTAACATTGCTTTTAAAATTGTGCCAAGATAATTGTGGATTACCATGCATTAATTTGAGATATCTGCTTTCCTGGTCCTTTTAATGCTATGCGAAGGGAAGGAAAGAGAATAGGTTGGGTCAGTTTCATCATAAATTCTCTACTTATCGCATAACCGCGGGGTGTTCATCGAAATTATTTTGAGACGAGTTTAGCAGTGTGTCAATTGTTACAAAGTCACGCAACATTAGATTGCGTGACCTCTAAAAATCACATCTTTCCAGTATGGTTAAATTTGTTTGCGCTTTGCGAGGTAACCTGAAGGGTCATGTTACCTAATATTTCTTCTAACGGTGACGATGATAACTGAGCTAACTGAGCGCAATCCATTCATTCCACAGCTCTTGAGTTGCTTCGTTCCTTCGTTCCTTCGTTCCTTCGTTCCTTCGTTCCTTCGTTCCTTCGTTCCCTCGTTCCTTCGTTCCTTCGTTCCCTCGTTCCTTCGTTCCTTCGTTCCTTCGTTCCTTCGTTCCTTCGTTGCTTCGTTCCTTCGTTCTTTCTTTCCCTCGTTCCTTCGTTCCCTCGTTCCCTCGCTCCTTCGCTCCTTCGTTCCTTCGTTCCTTCGTTTCCTCGTTCTCTTGATCTCTCGTTCCCTCGTACCTTTGTTCCTTCGCTCCTTTGTTCCTTCGCTCCCTTGTTCCTCCACTCCTTCGCTCTTCCACTCTTTCGCTCCTTCGTTCCTTCGTTCCTTCATTCTTTCGTTTCATGCAGGAATGCACTCTCTAAATATTTCTGATATTTTTACTTTTTAGGGTGATACGGAGGGCAGCTTCCGTTAAAAAAATTTTATGGAAATTAAATGTCTGTGCGCGCAACATCTCAAAAGGTTCTGGTTGTTGTTCATTGTCACTTTGTTCCTTTGCACATGGGTCATCATTGAAAGACTGGACAAACCTGCAATATTGAGACCTCTTTTTTATGCTCCTCAAAAAGATAACATCTATGAGATAAATTCTACCTCTTGGCTCGAAGAAGTCACCGTCTATGACATAAAACATTGGCAGGAGAAATTCTACACTTCGTTGGCAAAAATACGAAAACGACCTCCAAAAAAATGGAAATCAAGTCTCACCAGGATTATGGCCTATAATGTGTACAATCAAGGGTTGTTAGACAACCTAACACAAATCAAACTGCCAAGAGAAGAACTTAGACGAAGTGTGCACCTCGCAACGAATAACGGTTTGTTGCTGTTTCCAGAGATAGCCTCATGTAAGCCTATATTACCTGACGTGGTTCTTTATAACAGAATATTTAAGACAGGAAGCGAAACGACAGGCGCGTTGTTAGGTTTCTTGGGCTACGTGATGGATTATTTCTACACCAAACGTAAGTATTTCTAGCAGACTTCGTAAAGTTCTTATGACTTGTTATGGTTTGTATTCCCATAGGACTAGGGGGGCGATTATCATTTATTACCAGGAAGTAAGGGGGAGGGGGGTAGGGGTGCGTTGGGTCAGAGAATTTTGGTTGTATTACGATAAAATTTGCACGATCCTCCTCAAACGTATTCTGAAATTTTTATCATCTCCCCTCATTAGCAGTCCATTTTCTTTCACCTCCCCCCATTATACTCTTTTGTTGGCGACGACTTCCCCCCCTCCCTCTGCTCCCTCTGAAAACCAAGTGATCCCAAAATCCTCCGCTGACGCCCCTCCCCCACCCTCTCAGATAATAACGACTGGTCCCTAATGGTGCGCTTCGAGAAAATATGTTTATATACCCTTGTGCACTTTCGATCGAGTGTCGCAATAGCCAGTCAGAAAAATAGAGATAAGTTTCTCAAGCAGCCAATAAGAACTTAGAGAGAACACATGTAACCCATTCCTCCTTGTCGGGACCAAAGGAAATGTATAGAAAGTAAAAAAGAAAAAAAAAATTGCAAGCTGAGATCAGGGTGTAAAGGCTGTGTCAATGGCTGTTTTTCAGTCCACTTGTTTTCTGTTACCTGTGCCTCAAAAAATAAAAATGTCTTTTTTCTATAACATTACTTAGAAGTTGCGTTTTCATTCTACTTTATGACAGAAACAACAGAAGATTTCTATGACCAAGGCATCTCTGCGCCATATCCAATGATTATTGAACGTAAAGTCAGCGGATCAAATCGACTTGTGCTTTTTAATGCACACTTTTTCTTCAGAAACAACTTGGACTTAAAACTGCGATCTCACACGTACATTAATCAAGTTCGTGAGCCAGTTGCTAGATTTTTATCGCATTACTCTTACATGCGCAGTACAAACCGACCTAAGGATCGAATACAACAGATGATTGACAGCGGCGAATGGACCGAGACTATCGAAGAATGCTTCGAAAAACAAAGCCAAGGTTGCAAACGTAATGTTATGACGCGTTTTTTCTGCGGAACGGACAGATTTTGCAAGAGTGACGCGCCTAAAGCGCTCATTAAAGCGAAGGAAAATATCTTGCAACATTACGCCGTGGTTGGTTTGCTGGAACATTATCAAATAACGTTGAAAATTCTACAAAGGCGACTGCCGTTTTTTGTTCCAGTTGTACCAAGGAACCCAAGCGAATTGAGAGTGAATGAGGGTGTTAGAGGCAAGAACGTCTCCATTACTGATGAAATGATTTCGAAAATAAAACGAGCAAACTGGGCTGACATGGAGCTTTACGATTTTATAAAAGAGAGATTTTGGAAACAAGTGCGGGCTTGTGGGTTGTCGTAATCGGGTTGTGGGTTGCCGTAATCGGCAATTCTCCCTTCTTGCGCGCATACCTCAACTTGTATTGCCGGTTTTCATTGTCACACCATCATCAAAACCATTCAACAAATAAAGTCAAGAATTAAAGAGAGAAAATAAGATGAATAGTCAAACATCCTCGCGAAGATTCATGTATCAGCGATGTTCCGTGCGGGAGATATTCGAGGAAATGCTTTGCATTTGTGTGGAAACGCCATGTTTGTTTCCCTCTAGAGGGCCCAAATATGGCGGCCGGAAGCTAACGAAAACATGTGTCATCGAGGTTTGCTATAGAAAGCCTTTAGTTGTCTTCTGAGGGCCCATAGACATCTAAATGAGTACTTACTTTCGCACATGGACTGTCCACATTGCGAAATCTTAGCAGATAAGTCACTTTTTTTAACCTAAGTGACAGCATTTTGATATCGTGTCACCCAAAAGCTAAGAAATTCAACCTTATCACCAGACAAAAATCCCTTTCAAACTGAAAACTTGGAGAGAGTTAAGTCTTCTGTTGTATTAACTAGCTAAGCTATATCTTATGGGGATTGATAATTCCTTATATTTTTATCTTGATGACACCACGTCACGTGAAAACCTAGTATTGAGAAACGATACACACAAAGGCTGATCAGTTTCTCTATATACCGTCTTTATTCCATTAAGTGCCCAACCTCGAAGACTTCTGCGAAGACCAAACAATGAGTTGTTAGTCCTGGGCATAAATCGAACAATGAATACTTACAAATTATATGCTTTAATATTTTGTCAAGTTTTGTTCTAAGTTATTGTTTTGTTACAAAATAAACTTTTTACTTACTGAAAGTTGTGAAGGTTTAGCAAGCGCCCAGTCTCGAATAAGCGCCCACCTCAAATAAGCGCCCACCTCGAATAAGTGCCCATCCTGAAGTCCAAAAATTAATTAAGCGCCCTGGGCGTTTAATCGAATAAATACGGTATACTCATTACTAATTTGCAGCATAATTTCTTGGTAGTTTCGGGAGAAGGTGCATTTTGATCACTTCTTGGTGTGAACAGGTCTACGACTCCTTGTTAAAATATTGCTAATTATTTATTTTCTAGTTATAGTAGTTTATATACAGAATTATAAGAATTATCAAAGGAGAGCAATTATTCTGAATATATGCAGCATAACTTACGAAAGGAATTAAATTTTTTTATAATTTCTCTCAGTTAGAATGTGTGCTATGATTGGTCAATTTAGTGGGCCGTATTTCACTATGCGGCCCGCTAAATTCATGTATCTTAATTAGACGTTTTGTTGTGTAGTATCGCTGAGTATTTCTATGAGTTCTGCCGTATTTTCACGGGCCCGTAGGGCGAGTGAAAATACTCAGCGATACTACACAACAAAACGTTTAATAAGAGATTAATTATCCAACGCGCCAAATTGTCATTTCATTGCAGGCGAATTTCGCGGATATTTCTGGAGTACAAATATCGAGTAATAAAGTTGTACTTGTCTCGCGCGTTTTTTGTACTCTACGAAGCACCTTTGGATATTGAGATAGTTTATTTGAATCGAAATCCTCCTCCTTTATCCATTTTACCTTAATTGGCAGTAATACCGCAATCTGATTAGCCAATTGGTCGGTAAAAGTACAGACAACGCTGTTCGCGTCAGTGTATCACCCAATGCCTTTAATCACTGAATAAATCAACAGTTGTTTAGCATGGTCTTTAGTCTTATTGACGACGATATTCATCATCACAGTGCTTAAAATTTGTTGCGGACTCGCGCGGCTGCGCCTGGTGAGTCCACAACATTTTGACCGCTGTGATGACGGACGTCGTTGTCGATAAGAATCAAGAGAATTTAAATTAACTCTTGTAAGAATACAGGTCATGCGCAACCCACTGTCGATTTGTTAGATGAGTTGAATACGAAGTATGCTTGAGAAAAAGAGATTTAACAGTCTCTTGTTTACCCCTTTTGTCGACTGTGGACCGTTGAGATGGTAAACAGATGAGAAAAAACGATGTGCCTATCACTCCCAGATATTCCAGTGTACTCTGGTATCAGACACCTGCACAGGTCAGGACTTACGGACCTCGTTTCGCTGGGTCCGTGCGTCACAGCCAAATATTTTCTCGTACAGCCTGACCTGAAACTCACTCCAAATCAATGAGCGATTGTTACTTGACTGCCGTTCTTTCTTTTTCCCTCTTTCCTTTTATCAAGGAGCAGAATGCGTTGTAAGACAGCCGTTTGAGAAGTTCAATGAGAACTTTCTCTTGGTCACTTCATTCAAAATATTTGGAATGCCTATGACTGCTTAGCTCATAGAAACTTACAAGAGGGAACAGGGCATCTGTGAACTCAATGTCTAGCCAGCCTTTCTTAAATTGCTGCATTGACTACTGTACTTTTGTTTCCGTGATTCGTTGAAATTAAATGAAAAAGAAAAAACTCTTGTTAGGACGCTTGAAACCAGGTTGTAATATCTTATGAACACCTTTGAAACAGGCAAATAAAATATGGCAACTGCCACAGTGCCCAAAGGCTCCTTCGTACTGTGCGACTTTAATATTTAAACAATAGTGTTTCTGTCGAGGAACTATCGGCTGATAGTTGCCCCGCGGAAATTTGATGTTCTCAAAAAGAAAATATATTTGCCCGAGAAGCGAAGCTTCGAGGGAAAATATGCTAGTTTTAAGAACATCAAATTTCCAAGGGGCAACTATCAGACCGATAGTTCCGAGACATAAACACTCTATTGTTTTTATTGTTCACCACTAAATTTTCTTCCGCGCCTACAGCTTGTCACAAATGTCAATAATTCGCAACCGTACATTGGCTAAATAATACGTTATACCTGTCAGAATTGAAAAGTCACTGTTTTTCCGATCTGCCTAACTTCGCGGCCGTCAAACTATTCAAAACTTTTCACGGATGAGTACTATCAATCCAGGTATTTTCCGCGGACGGGCACTATCCATCCGGGTATTTTCCGCGGGCGGGCACTATGGGCTGATAGTGTCTCTCCACGGATGAACACTATCGCGTCACGTGATCGATTTAAACCAATAAGAACCGGAGAAAATTTAGTGGTGAACTATAAATTCTCATAGGACAGGAAGGTCGTAGCCCCCTAAACAAAACTTTGGGGGGGCAAATCCCCTGCACGCCTTGGTGCCGAAAATATACTAAGCGCAGTATAAAACCTGACAGAATATTGGCAGATTATTCAATCCCGACTCGCCCCAGTCGATTCTTAATTTTGAATGATCGCGCGAAGAGACTGGTTTAGAAAACAGTTAGACTTCCGTTTTCTAAGTCGACGAAGCTTGCACAGGTTTAGTGTCGTTTCCAGTGGTCTCATTTTAC